GAGAGTGTTTTTTTTTTTTGTTATCTTCTGGGCCGTAACGCGTGGTACAACCCCTACTCTCCCCCGCCCTCCCCCCCCATAACGTAGCGCTCCCCTCCCCAGTAGTGCGTCCCTGGCACTGCCGCAGTGCGTCCCGCGCCCCAGTTTGGATGGGGGGGGCGCCACGTTCTGCCCCCTCCCCGTCCCCCCCCCCCCCTTCCCCTCCATCTCGCCCGGTATGGCCGCGATGGAAAAGATTACGCTCTTGGGCGTCCAAATAATGGCTTCGCTTCGGAGGTGTCCGGAGTGTTGCCGGGGACACGGCGCGTTGCCCGCGCACGGAGGGCTCCTCCGTGCGGAAGCAGGAGGTGTCGGAGCGATGGGGGGAGGAGGGGTGGAAGGGGCGGAGGGCAGGCGCGAGAGAGTAGAGACGGGAGGAGGAGATTTGGGGAGGGAGAGAGAGAGAGAGAGAGAGAGAGAGAGGCGGGTAGCCCGCTCTCCCGCTCTCCTGCCACGTGTGCTTTGTGGGATTCATGCTTAGACTGTGAGAGAGAGGCGGGAGAAGGAGGCTGGTGGCCTGGGGGAGGGATGGAGGACGAGGCGGAGAGAGTGCGAGGAGGTGAGGGTGCAGCCCTGCTGGAGGAGGAGGGTGGAAGTCGAGACCCTGGAATGCAGGCCACTTCGGGCTCAGGCTGGGGCTCTCGTTCTCGGGGCGCTCCTTCGATCCAGGTCGGGAGGCCTAGGCGTGGCCGCGTCACGCCGTGGCCAGAAACGGCCCCTTCGGCCGGGAGCGGCGCGCACGTCCGCATCCGCGCCCCCGCGGTCCGGGTGCCGGGGCGCGCTCTCGCGTGCACGCGGAACACGGATGCGTTTCCGCGCGGGGCCGCCGCGAAACGGCGCCCCGCCGCCCGCGGGGTCGCGGCCCAGGGGCCCGAGCCCGCGAGGCCACGGATGTGGGCGCGTTTGTTCGCCCACGGTCCGTTCCTTATCTGGCATGCCTCGGGGTAGCTTCGCTAAAACAGGGCTAGGATCGGGATAAATCGCTCCAGAGCGTTCCGGAGCGCTCTCAGAGCGTTCCGGAACGCTCTGGAGCGGCCGCGGCGCCCAATACATCTTCCAAGCCCGCCGATTCTCAGAGATTTCGAGTTCTCCCGATCCGATTTTGTCCCGATCTTCGCGTCGTTTTCTTCGCGGGTGCCGAGAATGCCTGCGCTCGCCCTCTCGTCGGCCCGCGGAGGCGCCCGGTATCGGGCACCACCGCCGCGGCGCCGGGGAGACCGTGCAGCTGGGCCGCCAGGCGCGCCAGGCTCCGCGCGGTCGAAAGCGTCCAGGCCTCCCAGAGGGGTCCGAGGAGGAGGATGAGGAGGAGGAGCAGGAGGAGGAGGGGGAAGGAGGGGGAAGCAGGAAGAGGAGGAGGAGGAGGAGGAGGAGGAGGAGGAGGAGGAGGAGGAGGAGGAGGGAGGAGGAGGGGGAGGAGGGGGAGAGGAAGGAGGAAGAGGAGGAGGAGGAGGAGGAGGAGGAGGAGGAGGAGGAGCAGGAGGAGGAGGAGGGGGAAGGAGGGGGAAGGAGGAAGAAGCAGGAAGAGGAGGAGGAGGAGGAGGAGGAGGAGTAGGAGGAGGAGGAGGAAGAAGAGCAGGAGGAGGAGGGGTCGGAGGATCGCTCCACAGCGACGATACGGCGCGATGTGGGCCAAAGTTTCTCCACGCCGGCGGCGCCGAGGCATCGCCGAGGCGTCGCCGATGCATCGCGACGCGTCGTCGATGCATCGGCGATGCGAGGCGATCCTCCGACCCCATCTGCCCGCGCACCGCCCGGGAGGCCTCTTACTAATGGGCACGGGAAGGGCGGTGACGAGAACCGACAGTCAGAGCCCCGAATCATCAGGGGTAACTCGGGTCAGGGCTAACTCGGGTTCGTTGTTCGGGAGTCCCAACCCGAGTTATCCCGGACCCGAGCTTCCCCGGATATTTCGGGCGTCCAGAGCCCCGAATCATCAGGGTTAACTCGGGTCAGGGCTAACTCGGGTTCGTTTTTTCGGGAACCCAAACCCGAGTTACCCCGGACCCGAGTTACCCCGGATCACTCGGGCGTTCAAGACAGCTTGTCCAGATCTCCGACCAGCATGTTTTTTTGTTGTTGTTCCTTCGGGGCGCTTCTGCCTTGGACTGGGGCCGGTGGGGCGCGGCATCGGGACCTGGGGCTTGCAAAAGCGCAGCTCCGCGGCGGTGAGCTGCTCCGAAGGGAGGGTGGCGGGAGGTCGGGGGCCGCGGCTCCTGAACGACCATATCGTCGGATATCTGAGAATGGTCCGCGGAAGGGTCAGGGGCTTGCTGCGTGCGAAGAGCGCGATACCATACCATGAGGCTGGGTGCACCTGACCGGAAACTGGAACATATACATTACCAGTGGCGGGCTGTTGTTTTCAATCCCACGACTTCGGGGGACGACGTCGGGGTGGTGTATACGTTTCCCTCGTTGTCCGCGTTCCTGTGCGATTTTCAGCGCAGGGTCGGAAAAAGCGTCGGTGTGTATAGAGTTCGCTTCCCTGCATGACGCCGCCGGCCGGGGCGGGAGCTGGATGCGCATGTGGCCCGGGGGTCTTCCCAGCGTGCGGCCCGCTCTGGGGCAGGATGTGCCTGCCCTCCACCCGTGTGTGTCTGTGTCTGTGTCTGTGTCTGTGTCTGTGTCTGTGTGTGTGTGTTTGTGTGTGTGTGTGTGTGTCGCGCGCAGCTCGCCAGGGCAGCCCCCCTTAGCCGCCGACGCAAGAGAAGGCGTGCGCGGCGCCCGGCCTCCAGAGGTTCCTCGCGTGAATCCAGCCACGTGGGCGACGCACGAAAGAGGAGTCAAGCAGTTGCGAAGCGTCCTGGCTCGACGATAGCCCCACCTAAGAGAATGTTCTAAGAACCTCTTGTGGTTTCCACGAAATGTTCTCAGAACATTTCTGGCGGAGACTGTCTTGTTTTATCACATCTGGTTTTTGTTCTAAGAACATGGCTGTTGTTCTTAAAACATAGTTTGGGTCCTGGGAACATGTCGTGGGAGGACTACAGGAATGCCGGGACGGTCGGTCCCTGCTCAGTACGCAGCGCTTGGCCTCCAGATGCTCCTCATGTGACTCCAGCCGCGTGGGCGACGCAAACGAACAAAAAGAGGGGACGTCTGCGCCGCCACCGGCGCGTCCGCTGCCCGCGGGCGGTCGCGCGTGAGCGCCCCGCGGGTCCAGTGCAGCATGCCGCGCCCGCGGCCCGCGCCAGCAGCCGCGTCAGATCGCTGCGCCACCTCGCGCAAGATCCGTCTTCGATCGTCGCTCGAATGTTCCATACTCTGCACCGCCGAGGCACCGGCGACGCACCGGCGATGCGGCGTCGACGACGACGAGGCATCGGCGACGTCGACGCGAAGCGGATCGGGCTGCACCTCGGGCCGCACCTGCGATGCCTCGGCGATGCACTGGCGATGCGGCGTCGACGTCGACGAGGCAGCGGCGACGTCGACGCGAAGCACATCGGGCTGCGCGTCGAGCCGCACCTGCGATGCATCGGCGATGCGCCGCGATCGCTCATTGGAGGGTCCAGCTTCCCGGTCAGCTCCTCCGCCGTTGGGGGCTACCCCTGCGGTGCCGCGTGGGGGTGTGCACTTCCCAGCCGCCCGGGGGGCAGGCGTTCCCGACGGCGGGAAGGTTTGCTCCCCAATCAGTGCTTGCACTGAAGGGGTCCCAGCGGAAGTTGAACGATTTTCCCGCCGGGGGAAGTTTCCCGCCGATTTTGGTAGCAGGCTGGGCTCCCGAGTTCCCGGTTCCGGGCTCCCGGGTTCTGTTGCTTCCGGGCTGATTTCGGTGGGTTTGGGCTCCTGGGCTCCCGGGGTCCCGGTCGATCTCCTCAGCGAAAACCATCCGTTGTTTGGGAGCTTCTCTAGTGTAGTTTTACACAGTTCTTCGCCCGCCCAGGAAAGACCGACAGCAGTCCCTGTCCATTTTGAGCCAGGCTCGCTGTCGGTGTCGCCGCGGACAGGGTCCACTGATGCAGAAAGGGGCCTGCCCGACAGCGGCTGCTGGCAGTTTGGGACAACATGTGTTGTTGGGCATCGTGCCCATTTGGTCCGTACCCATCTTGGGCATGCCAACAGGTGGATGACTCCATCGACGCGGCGCACTTGGCGAATGAGTTTGTAAGGCTTTTTGCGGCTTGCTGTCTGCTAGTCGGAAGAGGAGAGGTGCTAATACCGTGGGTCTCGGTTTCGCGTCTCTGGGCCTCCTGGGAGGCCTTCGTCGCCACAGTTGGGTTCGCGTGTGAATCTCTTGCCAGAGCACACCCCGAGAGATGTCCAGAGAGCAGCAGTTATCGGCATGTGTGAGTCTCCCTCGCTACCCATCGGTCGTGGAAAGCAGGTATTTTTGGAGTCCCAGATTCGAATCTACTCTAACAGCCTTCCTGCTTCAATGATCGAGTGGCGTCACCCTTTCCGTCCTCTTAAGAGGGCGGGCGGGCACCACACTTGTGGTCAACGATGTCCTACTTCCTGTTCGTACCTACTGTCGGCCCGGATCAGTAGGTCGACCCTGCCAGTTCAAGGGTACCTTTGTGTCATGTGCCTCGCGACACGTGCCTTCCTACACTCTTATGGCGATGTGGCCCTCGGAAGGGTCTTGTGTCCTCTCGCGTGTCCTGTCCAATCGAGGTTGACTGTAGTTCTGCCGACCGATGGGTAATGCGGTTGCTTCTCCTCGTTTCTCTGGCGTCGCTCCTCTGCTGCAGCCAGCGCACGTGGGGAGGGGCCAGAGAGAGGGAGGGAGAGTGAGAGGCAGAGAGAAAGAGAGAGAGAGAGAGAGAGACACGGAGAGCGATAGACAGAGAGAGAGAGAGAGAAATCAAACAAAACCAAAAAAGCATAAACGTGACGAACACAAAGCGATGGGCCCATGTTCCCAAGCCCGCAGCACAACAAAAAACGACGCTCTGACGATGGGGGCGGGGGAGCGGCGCAGGATGTGAGGGTCACGCCTTGAGAAGCCATAGCGTCGGATGCGTGGGTCCACTTGAGCGACGCAACAAAAACGGGTTCGACTGCGCCGACATTTGCGCGTAAGTTGCTCACGTAAGGTCGCGCGTAAGCGCCCTCCTCCCCAATGTGACGTGCCGCGCCTGCGGCCCTTGTAAGCCACCGCGTGAGTTAGCTACGTCATCTCGCGTAAGACACGTTTAGGATCGTCGCTCATTTGAGGGACAGGCCATCTGGTGAAGTCGAGTCGAGGTCGGGGCCGCCCAGGCATTGCCAACGCCGCTGGTCCGCCACGGACGGCTCGTTCATCCTGGGCCCTCCAGGCTGCGAGGGCACGTTCAGGGACCGGGCGCGTCTGCTGGACCCCAACGTCTGGAGCTCCGTGGTCTCCGCGGTGGGTGCGCTGAACAACCGGGAGATCCCACTCGCCCAGGACCCGCCCACACCGCAGCAGGGTCTGCGAGAGCAGAAATGTGTTGGAGGTCCACGCGGGCTGCCTGGACTGGCGCTGGGCCCCCCCTGGCCTCCGGCGTCGACCTCGGCGGAGAGGGGTCCAGCACAGATTCATGACATCCGCGCGGAGTTCCGACAGCGTATGTTTTTTTTGTTTTTTTTTATCAGGTTTCCGTCCCTGAGCCACCCGCAGGCTCGCGAAGATCACTGCTGCTCGCGTTGCCGGCCTGGCGGGTACCCTCCTCCGGGGCTTGTCGCGCGGGAGCGCGAAGGCCGTCGCGCCCTGCGCCATCGCGAAACACCTGAAACCCTCAGGCGAGCCAGAGTCAGCTCTGGCCCGTCCGCAGGACGTTGTGCTCCGACCGCGCCCGAGCACGGCAGGGTTTCCCTCGCCGGGTGCTGCTTAGAAGCGCCACTGGCCCAGGGTGCCCCGAGGAATTCCCACGAAGGACCCCACGGCCTCCAGGACGCCCCACGAGGCCCAGCGGGCCCCAGGGGCTCCAGACTGGCGGAGGAAGCGGGGAGGAGGGGGAGGAGGAGGAGGAGGGGGAGGGGGAGGGGGGGGGAGAGGGAGGGAGAGGGGGAGGGGGAGGGGGAGGGGGAGGAGGAGGAGGAGGAGGAGGAGGAGGAGAGGAGAGGAGGAGGAGGAGGATGAGGAGGAGGGCCAGGGGCACCTTCGGCGGCCCCCGAGCTCGGGGGCCCCCAACACGGTGCCGTGACCAGGGGGTTCGGGGTCGCCGCGCGGTGTGGGGGCCCTCGGGGCGCGTCCTCCGCGGGCGCGTCCCGGGCGGCCGGGGCGCCTCCCGAGGGCCGCAGAGCCGCGCGGCGACGTGCGGCGCGGTGCGGTCTCGCGAGGATGCCGAGGCCACCACGCGGACCGTCACCGCCCAGTGTCGGGGCCCCGAAGACCCGCCACATTTATATATATATATATATATATATATATTATATATATATATATATATCCCTGGGGGCGAGGCCGGGGGCCCCAGGACAGTTGCCCCGACCCCCCATGGGGGGACCGGGGCTCATTTTCCCAGTGTTTTTACAGGGTTTCCGCCATGAGGGGTACCGGAGCTTCCAACGGTCCAAGAGCGCCGAAGAGCCGCCATGGGGGTACCGGGGCTCATTTTCCGTGTGTTTTTACCGGGTTTCCGCGTCCTGGGCCTCTGAGGCCGCCGCCTCCGACCCCCCATGGGAGGACGGGGCGGCCGGGGAGGTCCAAAATAGTCCAGGAGGGCCTCCAGAGGCTCCCAAGATCGCCGAAAGACCGCTCCAGGACGCCCAAGATAGGCCCAAGACGGCCCGAGAGACCCCCCAAGGCACTCCACGACGCTTCAAGACGCCTCTCCAGAGCGCTTCCAGAGGCCGAAATCGTCAATTGTACGAAGGTTTTCGAACCATTTTGGCCTTCCAGCCTTTTCGGCTGTCCGACGTTCCAAGACGGCTCAATAGGCTCCCAAGAGCGCCCCAAGACGGCCCAAGAGGGCTCCAAGACGGCCCCAGAGTCGCCTAAGACAGCCCAACAGAGCCCCAAGACGGCCCCAAGATGCGCCCAAGAGGGGGACCACGACTCCAAAATTCGACCCTCCCGCTTGAAGAGTGCCCCAGGAGGCCCCAAGGAGCCCCCAAGAGGCCCCAGGAGGCCCCCAAGAGGCACCCAGGAGGCCCAAACGAGGCCTAAAGAGGCCACAAAACAGCCCCGAGGAGGCCCCACAACGGTCCCAAAACGGCTACCGAGAAGCTGCGAAATGCCTTCACGACGTCCCCGACAGGCCAACCACGAGATCCAAACCAACACCCATGAGGCCTCTGACCCACCACCCAGGGCACGGTGGCGGGAGCAGTGACAGCACTTGTGCACAGCATGTTCCGGCGGGAGCCTTCCAGAACACGCTGCAGGAGGAGGAGGAGGAAGATCAGGAGGAGAGAGAGTTGGAGTGGGAGGAGGAGAGGAGGAGGAGGAGGAGGAGGAGGAGGAGGAGGAGGAGGAGAGGGGACGAGAGGAGGAAGAGGCCTCCCAGACAGCTCCAAGATAGCCGAAGAGGCTTCCAAGAGGGCCCTGGGCGGCCCACGAGGGTCCCAAGGCGGTGCCTGAGGCGCCCAAGACGTCCCGAGAGGGCCCCAAGACGGCCCCAAGAGAGGCCCAAGAAGGGAAACACTCAGTTGAGCGGGAGACCGGGACAAATCGGAACCAGAGATTTTGGGAGAGTTCCAGAGAAAAATAGAACGCCGACTTGTGGAGCGTAGCGCGCGCATTCGCAGAAGTTCCCAAAGAGTGTTCGACGGCTTGATGAGCCCAAGTAACACATGGGCGCTCAATTCAACTGTTGAGGGCGGGCAGAAAATCTGGTGTGCACAAGCATTGTGAGCGGGTGCGCGGCTTGCCCGGGGGGCGCAGTAGGTTTGCGTTTCAGGCCAATGCGCTGATGGAGGGCCCGAGAATGCGTCGCACATATTACTACGCCTGTGGCGCCATGGAGGCCGCATTTGCGGTTGCAGTTGGGCGGGCGCCCCGCCGCGCGCACCGCGGCGACAGCTCTTGGGCGCCCGCCCGCCGCCGTGGACGTAGTGGACCCAGCTCGTCTCTCGGTCGGCGCGCGGCGGGTCGGCAGCCACGACGCTGGCGGCCTGAAAATGCTTCGAAAGCGTTTCTCCCCGAGCCCGGGGCTATTGTACGTTTTCGGTGGCACGCGCAGCTCGGAGAAAAATCGCCTTGTCCGTCGGCGGCCAGTTGGCTGTCGTCGCGCAGAAGTACCGGCGGATGGCGCGGTCCACTCTCAGCGCAGAGAGCGTGTCCATGAGCGTGGACTCGTCGAGGGGCAGGAGGAAGGACCTCGCGGTCGGGACCACCGCGGCCCGCGATGTCCACGGCCCCCACCCTGGGCCCGCGAGGACCTGCTGGGCGCCGCCGCAGCGCGATTTCAGAGAATCTCGGAACCAGAAATCCGGGCGCGCCAAATTTCGCGGGCCGAAAAACTCTCAGAGAGTTTCGGCCAGCTCCGAGGTTTGGGTTTATGGGAATGTTTCACGCGGGGTGGCTAGTTCAGAGATTTTCAGAGATTCTCAGAGAAGTTCGGACGCGAGAATTTGGCGCGCCCCGGTTTCTGGTTCTGTGAATCTCTGAAAAGCGGTTCCTTAGGTTTTACCGGGTCTCCAGGCGTCCTACTGTCAGCCAGAGACGAGCGATTGGCTGGCGCCGCGCCCGATGCTTCCGGAGTTGCGAACTCGGTCTTCGACTCCCTGGGGCCCGCGGGCCCCTGGGCCAATCGCGAGGTTGCCGAGGCCCCCAGGCGGTTGCGCGCGATTGTCTCGGAAACCGGAGTTGGGCATCCATGGTGGACGCCCGCGCGTACGCGCTGGGTGTCCGCGAGATTGTTCGGCGGCGGATCTTGCATGGCGCGGGGACTTTCCAAAGACTTTCCAGGGTGTTCTGTACGGTTACTTCGGCGCGCTTCGGTAACCTTGGGGCGGCGCGGGGAAGTCGCCTGGCCGCGCGCGGGACTTTTTTCCCATGCCTTCTTGGGCATTATCGCGGTGTTGCGTGGCCGAAGAGGTCATTGAGTAACGCGTTTTTTTTTTTTTTTTTTTGTATTTTCGTGTTTTTTCGTTGCGTTGGTTGCGTGATTGTTTGGGCGGTCCGCCTCCTTGGGGCCCCCTTGGGGCCTCAAGTTTGTTTTGTTGACGTCGGGCCTTCTGGAGTGAAAGGCGCTTGGCGGTGAATTCCCTCGGGGGCGCGCGTGGCCAAATACGCGCCGTGGCTTCATCCGCGCCGGGGCGCATTTCTTCCCTCGCGAAGCCGATGGCGCCCAAGGCGTGGCAGGCCCGTTCGGCGGCGCCCCCGGTGATTTGAAAAACCGAGCATGATTTTCATCCCGGTCAAATTTTGCCCCGATCCTGGCTTCATCTTAAACACGAATCGAGAATCCGAGCTTTCTACCCCGAGAGGTTCTCGGGAAGTCCCAAGAGGCCCCCAATCGGATCCAAGAGGCCCCCAAGAAGCTCCCAAGAGGGCCGACGAGGTTCCAAGAGATCTCCCAAGGTGGCCCCAAGAGGCACAACTCATAGTTTTACGATTGGGCTTTGACGGGTTTTAATTTTTACTGCCTTTTGGCACCCCGATGCTCCAAGACGGCCCAAGAGGCTTCCAATACCGCTCCCATATAGAGGAAGAGGCCTCCAAGAAATCCCCAAGACGGCCCGCGAGGGCCCCAAGACGGTGCCTGAGGCGCCCAAGACGGCCCGAGAGGGCCCCAAGAGCCCCGAGAGAGGCCCAAGAAGGGGAACGCGACCCAACAGCAGAGCGGTCCCCCCAAAAGGCCCACAGGAGGCCGCAAGAGGCCCCCAAGTGGTCCGACGAGGACCCAAAAAACTTCCCGAGAGCCTAAGAGGCCCCTAGGAGACGTCCAAGAGGCTTTAAGATAGCCCAAGAGTGCCCTCGATGCGTCAAAACTGCTTCCAGGAGGCCCCCGGGAGGCTTCCGGATTGCCTCAATCTGGCCGCAGGTGGCCTCAAGTCGGGCTTCCACGCAGCCAAGACGGCCAATGAAAGCTTCAGATTGCAGAACCGATGCCCCCAAGGGACCCTCAGACGCCCCCCCAAGAAGCACCCAAGAGGTGCCTCCATCAGCCAGTTGACGAAGCATGCGGAACACCCCAGAAGCTCCTCAGATGCCGTCGCGCGCCTGTGCTTGATATCGTTGTCCAAGATCGTCCAGCGCCCCCCAGGCCTGGGCTAGAACCTGAGCGCGCGCGAAGCGCGCGCGATGGTTCTAGCCCAGGGGCCCGAAAACAGCTGCCCGACCCTCCAGTACCGGGGCTCATTCTCGCTGTGCTTTTACACGGTTTCGGCGTCCCGGGCCTCGAAGGCCGCCGCGATGCTCCCGGACATTTTCCAGATCCTCGGCGCGGGCTCCAAGACCATTCCGCAGAGGGCCCCAACAGGCTCCAGGGCAGCCCAAGAGGGCTCCAAGACGGCTCCAGGAACGACTGCAGGGTCTCAGTTTTTCTGTGTTTTCTGCAAAACGGCTCCAGGAAGACTGCGTGTCTTATGAGGATGGCTTCCGCCTCTTGCCCCAAGCATCCCAAACTGCCTGAACGGTCTCCACTCGCCTTCCCCGAACCCAGCGCTTGCCCAAGCGCGTTCCGGACGGTCTTCGCCAGAACGCGCTGGAATGATCACGCGCTGCGGTTTCCCATGCCAACGTCCTCGGACGTGGGCGCCCTGCCACGAGCGCGTTCCGGGAAGATGCTCCCGGAACGCGCTGAAAAGATATGGCCACATCTCGGGGACGCTCCCCGCATCGCTGCCCCAGCCTTTCCGGCAGCCTCCACAGCGCTCCAGGAGGGCCCAAGACGCCCCCCAGGAACCCCCAGAATGCGAAAGGATGGCCCAAGACGCTCCCGAGCAGCCCAAGTCAGCCTTCCGACGGCTCTCGAGGCTTCCAGGTGGCCTCCAAGAGACCCCAAGAAGTCTGATACGTATCACGGTCCAAGCTTCCAACGGTCCAAGAGCGCCGAAGAGCCGCCATGGGGGTACCCGGGCTCATTTTCCGTGTGTTTTTACAGGGTTTCCGCGTCCTGGGCCTCTGAGGCCGCCGCCTCCGACCCCCCATGGGAGGACGGGGCGGCCGGGGAGGTCCAAAATAGTCTAGGAGGGCCTCCAGAGGCTCCCAAGATGGCCCAAGCGGGCCCCGAGTCGCCGAAAGACCGCTCCAGGACGCCCAAGATAGGCCCAAGACGGCCCGAGAGGCCCCCCAAGGCACTCCACGACGCTTCAAGACGCCTCTCCAGAGCGCTTCCAGAGGCCGAAATCGTCAATTGTACGAAGGTTTTCGAACGATTTTGGCCTGCCAGCCTTTTCGGCTGTCCGACGTTCCAAGACGGCTCAATAGGCCCCCAAGGGCGCCCCAAGACGGCCCAAGAGGGCCCCAAGACGGCCCCAGAGTCGCCCAAGACAGCCCAACAGAGCCCCAAGACGGCCCCAAGATGCGCCCAAGAGGGGGACCACGACTCCAAAATTCGACCCTCCCGCTTGAAGAGTGCCCCAGGAGGCCCCAAGGAGCCCCCAAGAGGCCCCAGGAGGCCCCCAAGAGGCACCCAGGAGGCCCAAACGAGGCCTAAAGAGGCCACAAAACAGCCCCGAGGAGGCCCCACAACGGTCCCAAAACGGCTACCGAGAAGCTGCGAAACTGCCTTCACGACGTCCCCGACAGGCCAACCACGAGATCCAAACCAACACCCATGAGGCCTCTGACCCACCACCCAGGGCACGGTGGCGGGAGCAGTGACAGCACTTGTGCACAGCATGTTCCGGCGGGAGCCTTCCGGAACACGCTGCAGGAGGAGGAGGAGGAGGAGGAAGATCAGGAGGAGAGAGAGTTGGAGTGGGAGGAGGAGGAGGAGGAGGAGGAGGAGGGGGACGAGGAGGAGGAAGAGGCCTCCGAGACAGCTCCAAGATAGCCGAAGAGGCTTCCAAGAGGGCCCTGCGCGGCCCACGAGGGCCCCAAGGCGGTGCCTGAGGCGCCCAAGACGGCCCGAGACGGCCCCAAGACGGCCCCAAGAGAGGCCCAAGTAGGGAAACACGAATCGAGAATCCGAGCTTTCTACGCCGAGAGGTTCTCGGGAAGTCCCAAGAGGCCCCCAATCGGATCCAAGAGGCCCCCAAGAAGCTCCCAAGAGGGCCGACGAGGTTCCAAGAGATCTCCCAAGGTGGCCCCAAGAGGCACAACTCATTGTTTTACGATTGGGCTTTGACGGGTTTAATGTTTTCGGCCTTTTGGCATCCCGATGCTCCAAGACGGCCCAAGAGGCTTCAATACCGCTCCCATATAGAGGAAGAGGCCTCCAAGCCCCCAAGACGGCCCGCGAGGGCCCCAAGACGGTGCTTGAGGCGCCCAAGACGGCCCGAGAGGGCCCCAAGAGCCCCAAGAGAGGCCCAAGAAGGGGAACGCGACCCAACAGCAGATCGGTCCCCCCACAAGGCACACAGGAGGCCGCAAGAGGCCCCCAAGTGGTCCGACGAGGACCCCAATAGCTTCCCGAGGGCCTAAGAGGCCCCTAGGAGACGTCCAAGAGGCTTTAAAATAGCCCAAGAGTGCCCTCGATGCGTCAAAACTGCTTCCAGGAGGCCCCCGGGAGGCTTCCGGATTGCCTCAATCTGGCCGCAGGTGGCCTCAAGTCGGGCTTCCACGCAGCCAAGACGGCCAATGACGGCTTCAGATTGCAGAACCGATGCCCCCAAGGGACCCTCAGACGCCCCCCCAAGAAGCACCCAAGAGGTGCCTTCAACAGCCAGTTGACGAAGCATGCGGAACACCCCAGAAGCTCCTCAGATGCCGTCGCGCGCCTGTGCTTGATATCGTTGTCCAAGATCGTCCAGCGCCCCCCAGGCCTGGGCTAGAACCTGAGCGCGCGCGAAGCGAGCGCGATGGTTCTAGTATATATATATATATATATGTACAAACATACATAGACATATACGTATTTTCATGTATACACATTTACATCTCTGTGCATGTATATATACATATTCACACAGACACCCTGCAATATGTTGTGCCTGGGGCTCAGGGGAGGGCTGCGGTGTCTAAATCACCACTGAGGGCCAGCGACCTTCTATACCGCCACTTCCCCAAAACGTACACGCAAAGTTCGTCGGAGGGTGTCTGCTTTTTATTACATATATATTTTTCACATGTGTATATATATATAGAGATATAGATGCCCTTCTCTTTATTTGTATAAACTAGCCTCGCCCCCAAACGGGACCCTCCAGATCCTTGGTCCCCAGGGCACCCTGGACGCCCTTCCAGACGGTACCATGTGTTTTCCGGGGCTCCTGAAGCCCTTGCTGGGCCTAGGCAACATGCCCAAATCGGTCAGGACGGCCGCCGAACGGCCCCGCGAGAGCCCAGAGGCCCTAGACACCCATCAGACGCCCGATCACGACCGAAAGAAGATCTCCAAGAGGCATTTCAAACATTTCTTCTGTCTTCCGGGCGTCCGAGACCGCCCAGGATGCCAGAGATTCGCCACGAACTTAACCAAGAGGGCTTCCAGAGGAGCCCCAAGACGGCCCAACAGGGCCCGAAGAGAGCTTCATGACGGCCGAAGATGGCCCCAAAACGCTTCCCGAATCATTCCAAATCGTGCCGCCTTGGTGGTTCCGGGAGACCGCGGTTGGAAGTAGGGTGGCCTGGTAAAGCCCCCAGAGGCCCCCAGAAGGAACCCCGGAGGCTTCCAGAAGGCCCCAACCAGCCCTTAAACGCCTCGTGAGGCTTACAAGAGGCTCTCCTAGGATGAGCCTCCGTGAAAAGAACTTAAGATGGGGGCGAATTCGCAGGGCAGGGCGAGAATGAGGAAGAGGAAGAGAAAACATGAGGGATGAAGAACGAATAACATTATTAACGACGATGCCAGAACAGGCAAGAACGAGCCATCGCTAATTGCTCCGTTTTGCCCCATTGCCCTCTTGCCTGCATGCGGAACCTCAAGGACCAAGGTGCATGGCGCGAGGCGCCCATGCAGTCATGTGTAGATACAAACATATGTGTGCACATATGTGTGTATGTATGCATGTCTGCAAGTGTGTATATGTGTGTATTTTTGTGTGTATATATATATATATATATATGTGTGCATGTGGCGTAGAAGAGATGGAGCCTCCCTGGTACTGCTACGTCGGCGGGGGTCCCGAGGTGGGCCCGCCCCGCAGGACTTCTGCGTCGTGTTCTCCCGCTCGCAGCAGCAGTACTTCCTCCTCTGGGCGGAGGGCCGCCGGGCCGAGGCGTTCCACGCGCTGAGCATGGCGCCCTCGCCCGGCCCGCGGTGGGCCCTGGGCCAGGCCATGGACGTTGGCATCACGGGGGGCGATACCGCCGCTGGTTTAGGCATGGCTGCCCTGTCGGGGGGGTGATGTATATACATGGATATATATATATATATATATGTGTATAGATAGGGGTGGCATATATATATATATATATATATATATATATATATATATATGTGTGTGCGTCTACGTTTGCATTTGTGCTTACACTTTTCATGATTACATTCATACAGTCATGTACATGCCGTTTTAATTTCTTGCTCATTCATACCGTATGTTTTATGTACATTCTTACGTGTGCATTATTCGTACATGCACCTTCTTCTTACATGTACACTATGCATGTACATTCTTCTTACATGTACATTGATGTGTTATGACTACACTAGTTTGTTTACATTGCCTCTCGTTCATACAGACATGCATGTACATGATTGGACCGAACATCATCATCATCATACTCATCACCATCATAATCATAATCATCATCATCATCATCATCATCACCATCATCACCATCATCACCACCACCACCACATCATCAATATTATCATCATCATCATCATCATCATCATCATCATCATCATCATCATCATCATCATCATCATCATCATCATGGCGCCAAGCGGTCGCTGCCCGGCCAACCCTCTTTGTGGCCGAAGGGGGTGCTGGTGGCGACCGTGCGTGCGGCGGGCTCCCCCCCGCCCCGCACGCTCGTGCTCGCGCGCGCCTGCCGTGGCGATCGCAGCGCACCCCCGCCGCGACGTGCCCCACCCTCGGCATTAGTCGGAGGAGGAGGAGGAGGACGTGGAGGAGGAAGAGGAGGAGGAGAGGGGAGGAGGAGGAGGAGCTCGAGGAGGAGCAGGAGCTCGAGGAGGAGCTCGAGGTGGAGGGCGTGCGCGCGCGAGTTTTGGGAGTTTTTTTCTCCACAGTGTGTGCTGTTCAACGTCGTGTTTTTTCTCCGTCGAGGACCATCGATATGAGCGTTGCAGGTCATCCTGCAAAAAGGTGCACGCACGAGGCCGAAACATGCCCGTGGAATGGACGCCCGAGCGACGGCGAGCACCCCGCTCCCAAGCGTTGCACTCGCCCCGAGGGCCCACACCCCGCCCGGCCCCGCGCTCCCGTGATGTAGCGACCGCTGCCCGAAGCAGAAGACAAGGACAGGCTCGGGCAGCCGCGTTTTCACTTCCTCGGCCCGTTCCTCCTGCCTCCTCCCCCCGTTCCCCTGCCTCCCCCTCCTCCCCCTCTCCTCCCTCCCTCCCCCTCCTTCTTCCTCCCAGTCACTCCCCGCCATCCTTCCGCTTACCAATCTCCTGCCCCATCCCATACTATCGAGGACGCCGGCGGCGCATCACCGGCCGCTCCCTGGGAGTTTGTCGAAGTGGTGCGCAGCATCGAACGTCGTGACGCTCCAGGGGCCTCTTGGGGGCGTCCCAGGGGCTTCTTGGAGACCTCTTGGGGCCCTCTTGGGGCCTCTTGGGGCTCTCTTGGGGTTTGTTGGGGGCCTCCAGGGGGCCTCTTAGGGCCTCCTGGGGGCCTCTTGAGCCGAAAGCTCAAAATGTTCATTCGGGTTCCCCTTCTGGGCCTCCTCTTGGGACCATCCTGGGGCCCCTCTTGGGCCGTCCCGGGGGCCTCTTGGGCGATCTGGGGGCCCTCTTGGGCCGTCTTGGGGCCGTCTTGGGGGCCTGTTGGGCCGTCCTGGGGCGATCTTGGGGGCCTCTTGGGCCGTCGTGGAGCGTGGGTAAGCCGAAATGGCGTGAACGTGAAAATCCTTCAAATACAATTGAAAAATCAATGATTTTTGCTTCTCGGGGCTGTCTTGGGGGTGCTCTTGGAGCCCTCTTGGGCCGTCTTGAAGGCGTCTTGGGCCGTCTGGAGGCCATCTTGGGCGTCTTGGAGCGATCTGGAACCGTCTGGAGGCTCTCCTTGGACTGCTCGGGACTCTCTTGGACCGGCTTGGGGCGCCCTTGGGTCGTCCCCGGGCCGTTTGAGACCTTGAAGGGGGCCGGCGGCAGAGTGGAGCCAGCGGCAGAGTGGGGCCCCTCGGAGGGACTTTCAGGAGGTTTTTGACCAGGCACTGGAGAAGGGGGCCAAAGACTGTGCCAGACACTGTGTCAGAGAGGTCTCGCACGGCCCAACCCGCCGGGCGGGAGCGGCCGGATTGTGATTGTTCCCTCTGCCGCCATCCTCCCTCCTTCCCCTTTCCTTTCCCCCCTCCACCCTCTCCCCTTCTCCTCCCCTCTCATCCACATCTCCTCCGCAATCCCGGACACGCACCAGGGAGGAGCAAGAGGACAATAGGGATATGATAAGAACGAGGGATGAATCTGATGACAAGAAGGGAGAAGTCCCCGAGCAGCCCAACGTGCATTAGAGATGATGCAATGTAGTCGCAGTGGGTGTTTAATGCTGCACCGCCACACTTAAGCTCTCGGCTAGGAAGAATCGTCCTCCCTCTACTCCTCGCCCTCCCCTCCTCGCCCTCGTCGTCACGATCGTCTTAACCGTCCGTCGGCGTCTTCGTCGTCGTCGTCGTCGTGATCGTCGTTGCCCTCGTCTCCTCGCTTTTGTCGTCCGTCGTCGTGATCGTCGTCGTTGCCGTCTTCACATGGAGCTCGCGAAACTTACGGTGCGCAGTAAGAGCTCGCCGTTGTTGTGCTGAATTTGTTCGGTGTTGGCCGCGCGTGTAAATATTGGCGCACTATTGTTCGCCGTGTTGGATATTGTTGTGTGGCTATTCCGCCCATCGGATAACGTTTTCTGGGGTATCCTGCATGACCCAGGACGTTGGAGCTTGTTTGTGCAATAATTGCAAGGGATGCGCTATATTTCCAAACGAGTCGGCGTGTCGTCTTCGTCATCGTCGCTCGGAGTGATGGGTCGCAGTGATGGGTCGCAGTCGTCGTCGTCTCCGTGCGCAGTGATAAGTCGCAATAGTTGTGGTGAGCTGGTTCGGTGGTTGCCGCGCGTTGATTTATTTGGGTACGATTGCATGCAGTGTTAGTTAGTGTTGTGGAGTTGTTCCCCCCCATCGGCTATTGTTTCCTGGGCTACCCTACACGACAGAGGCTGCACGACAGAGGAATTGCTTTCCATTGTAGTAGCCGTAGGAGTAGGGATTCGAAAGGGTAAGCGTACGAGTACGATGACGACGACAGGGGCGTCGACGATGAAGCCGGCGGAGGCATCAGCAGAGGCTGCCGCGGGGGGGGGAGTGTTTGTCCAACATTGTTCTCGGCCCGAATCCGCCACTGAGCCCGCGCAAAAAATAGTTGCCGCTAAACGTGGAATGACGAACCAACAACACACACCCATACCCATAGGGGGGGTCGGAGAGGGCTATGGGTACGTGTTGTCGGATGGGGGTCCCCGCTCGAACGGGAGCGTTCCCAAGGGTCCGACAACCCGCACCCATACCCAGAGCGAGTCCAGCTCCCAACGACCGCCCTTATGGGTGTGGGTGTGTGTTGTTCGTTCGTCATGGAATGTATGAGAACTCTCTGGGGGTACTCCTCGCATCAAAGGTCCCTACATGGTTCCCTACACAGGAAGAGGAGGAGGAGCCATGGCCCACGCTCGGTCGAAAGAATCAGGAGGAGGCGGAGGAGGAGGAGGAGGAGGAGGAAGGAGGAGGAGGAGGAGGAGGAAGAAAAAACAGGAGGGAGGAGGGGAAGAGGAGGAGGAGAGGAGGAGGAGGAGGAGGGAGGAGGAGGAAGAGGAGGAGGAAAGAGGAGAGGAGAGGGAAGGAGGAGGAAAGAGGAGGAGGGGAGGAGGAGGAGGAGGGAAGAGGAAAGAGGAGGAGGAGGAAGGAGGGAGGGAGGGGGAGGAAGGGAAAGGAGGAGGAGAAGAGGAGGGGAGGAGGTGGGAGGAGGAAGAGGAAGAGGGAGGAGGAAAGGGAGGAAGAGGAGGAGGAAAGAGGAGAGGAGGGAGGAGGGAAGGAGGAGGGAAGAGGCGGAGGAACGAGGAAGGAGGAGAAGGAGGAGGGTGCCTCACCCGTGCGGGGAAGTAGCCCCGGCCGACGGGCCCGGCGAGAGCGCCCCGTGGCCCTGCCGTTCTGGCGAGGAGCCACGCGCGCAGGCAGCCGCGAGGCGTCTCGCCTCGCGGGCGGCCCTGCCGAACAAGGTGCTAAGAGTCCTCCTCCTCCTCTTTCCTCTTCCCCTCCTCCTCCTCCTCTCCTCTCCTCCTCCTCCTCCTTCCTCCTCCTCCTCCTCTCCCTCCTCCCTCCTCCTCCTCCTCCTCCCTCCTCCTCCTCCTCCTCCTCTTTCTCCTCCTCTCCTCCTCCTCCTCCTCTCCTCCTCCTCCTTCTCTCCTCCTCCTCTCCCTCCTTTTTCCTCCTCCTCCTCTTCCCTCCTCCTCCTCCTCCGCCTCCTCCTCCTTCTCGCCTGCAGCCCTGCCAAACAAGGTTCTGAGGACCCTCTGTTCGTGGGCGGCAAAGAGGGGGGTGATGACTACTTGGCATCGCTCGGGCGTGTGCATTTTTCCTTCGGCGAGGGCCATCGAGGAGCATCCTTGATCATTTGGCGAAAAAAGCCACGCACGAAACCATAAAAAACACAACAAACCACAGGGAATGGACGTACGAGCGATGGCGAGTGGCTCGCCTGCAGCCCTGCCGAACAAGGTTCTAAGAGCCCTCTGTTCGGGGGCGGCAAAGGGAGGTGACGACTAGGGTTATGTCGGGCGTGTCCCCCTACAGGGGGATTTTCGACGAAACATAGAAAATACCACAAAGAGATTCAAAAAAGAACAAAAAATGCTAAACAAATAGTCCCCAGACTATTTGTGGACTATGTTTTGATTTTTGTTGGGTATGTTCTATTTTTCGTCGAAGATCCCCCTGTAGGGGGACACGCCCGACATAAGACTAGGGAGGGGGGATATCATGGCGGGGGCCATGGTATTTCCCCAGGTCTCGTGGCGCCTCTTCTCGTTTCATTACGTCCCTGGCCCCCCCCGCTGGGCTGCGCACGTGCCGCCGGTCATGATTTGCACCCCCCCTCTCTTGGACACCCCCCGCATGGCCGCTCCCGATTCGTGGTCTGCACGAAATGTTCT